AAATTTCAAAAAAATAAAAAAAAATACAAAACAATAAAAGGATAAAAAAGCATTCCCTGAATGGATTACATCTTGTCTGCAGCAATAATTTGTGGTCGCTCAAAATAATTGACCAAGTTCTTTAACATTTAATTGACTTTCGGTTTGCAGTTGCAGATGCTGCAACTTTAAATAAAAAATCACGTTAAAAGGCAAAAATTATGTAAAAATTCTGTGCAACGCAGCGCAAATCCATAAAACCTCCTGCAAGCTGCAAAATTTCTTTGGCATTTAATTGAAATAATTTTAAGTAAAAATTTGCATTTAAAAAAAGTTTAAGGCCCTCGCTTTTTCATCTCGTTGTTTTATTAAAAATGCGTTGGACATTAAATGCAGCAAAAAATAATGAAACTGAAATTTAAATTACAACCTTTTGCGGTGAGCGCGGCGTACTGCATATGCAAATAAAAAATGATAAACAGTTCAATAATTCAATAATTTCATTTAATATTCTTAACAAAGAACAAAACAAAAAAATTCCAATAACAAATTCCAATCAAAGTTAATCCTTTCAAGCAAATGCAACAGCAATCATATTCGCACATTTTTTCCAGTCTTAAATTCTCTTTAAATTTAGCATTTATGTTGCATGTCGCAAAAAATGCAGCATAATGAAGAAGCAACAAGCCACAAATGATGCAACTAGTAATTTGGCTAATTTAGTGCTGTACAGCAGCATCGCGCCGTTCTCCATTCTCATCCAGACTACTTCATTTTTTGGGTTGCAGCATTACTTTTGGCTTTCGCTTAGCACGCGGCGGGCCTTCGGTAGCGCAACTTTCATGCCGCAAGTACTCGAACACATTTCGAAGGCAACAAAAACTATCGCCATTGCTGGATATTAAATAAAACATTCTTTAAAAAGTAAATGTAGTAAACGGAATAAATGGAGGGCAGATGATCCCACTTTTTTACGATTTTCAGCTTCTTATTTTTGCAAGTTCAGCGCAATTTTTGCCTTGAGGCCAAACTTTTCTGTTAAGTTTTTGCTCCTGCGAACTGTGCATTTTTTCATAAAACACCTGAAATTTTTCGCAAAATGAAAGGTGAAAATTATGGAAAAAAAGCTATTTTAAATATGCTAATAAATGTGACATTTTCTTAGAAAGGATTTCAAATAAAATTTTCAAATAAGATTTTCCGGTAGAGGCTAATGCCGTTTTCGATTGGTATATATGGAATAACTTTTTCAATTCAGATTCTCATTTAGTGCAGTTTTCATTTTCGATTGGTGAGTCTCGATCAAAATGTATAACACTTGTATTAATTTATAACACTCTAGATATTTTGGCAGAGTAACGAGATTACCTGAAATTCACAGCTGTTGACTTGACAGGTAAAGTGTAAATTGATTCGATATATATATTTATAAAAAATATAAATAATAACTGTAAGAATGTTAGATGTAGATAGATTAAGAGTAAATCTATATTGAATTGAATATATTTACCAATCACAAACGTTATAAATCAAGCAATCTTAACATCTATTAATATAAAACCTAATTGTGTATATTCTATATATTAAAACTAACTATACATTCTTATATGTATTTCTGATATGCAAATAAGTGAAGTCGACACATCGCTACGAATTCTGTTAACTGCATAAACGAATTCAGTAATACGGTTTCAAATAACTTCTGAACTAATCTTGAATATTGCAATATTGCTGGACTCTTTTGACCCAGATTAAGCAGGAATAAAAAGAAAACTTTAGTAAACCTATATTTCATACTTACTAGAGTACTGAAGGGGTAATTTGTGATTAACCCGTGCATGTAAGATAGCCTACTTTGATAATTATAATATACAGGAGTTGCGAAAATGAAGTGGATATAGAGTCCATTAAGTACTCTCATTGTCTGGGACTTCAAAGGAAACAATTTTAATGTCTAACAGATTCTTGCTTTATTGACCTTGCACAAATAACTTAGGTGGAGTTGTTGAATCTTCTCAGATTTATCTGGAAGGCGAACGGTTTAAACAGGGTTAATACTCGGAGATAATATTGGTTAGTGTATCTCATTTTTTTTCGTGATCATACTTAAACAATTTTATTTATAATTCCTATTTAAGTAGGTTATTTAATATTTATTTATAATGTTATTTATTATAATATTTATATTATTTTTTAATAAATATACTTATCTCAATCTTTTACATTGAAAACTTAAAATCGATCATCGATGTTTAAGAGCGAAGGTGTTGACTGTTGATTTAGGTCGCGCCCTAACTTAATTATAGCACTATGTTCAGACTGTTATGATCTTATAGTTGCTATAAGTTACTTTCTGCTGGCATGAGAACAATCTTGTCGTTTACGATCTACAACGAACCTAAGACTTCTAGAGATTGCGGGTAAGTATAAGAATCCTGTGTAAAAATGTTGTAATAATCCTTATGTAGTGTATATTCTACTTATTCGTATGTTCGATTTTTCAAGATTGGTCTCGGCTACCAGTTTCTTAAGATGTTACTGAAATAATTATTTGGAATTATTTTGATTAATTTGGTTTGTAGTTTCGAGATAAAGAAGGTTTGATATCTATATAGATGTGACAGACATTTTTCGCTATAAAAATAAATAATCAGGAACAAACTAAATAAAATTATTAAAGACTATTCAACAACTCGTTGATTTTGTTCTGGAACCGATTTTAAGCAAATTGCTAAAAAATAGTTTCCTTTACTAAAATTTTTTCAACTATTTTTAAAATTATAATATCATCTACAAATTTACACAGAAATATTTCTAATAACAGTAGGAATTAATTATGTTAATCCACTTGTTTTAACCTTGGGAGGTAACACTTTGTCCGAAGAACCGTAAAAAAATCGTGTGGGTCGAGAGATTAATTTTAAATATTTATAGAGATACAGAGTGTGACAGAATCGTTTCATCGTAAAATATCAGAAAACATCATAGTCAGGAAACATTTATGACTTCATAAACGATAACCAAATAGTTTTAATTCTATGCATTTAAGTTTTTAAAATAAAAACTAAATATTTATATATATATATATTAGTTCCAGTAGATCCTGTGAAAAATGCAAAGCCATAATTTTATATACTATATACTTACATTTTAGGAAAATAAATTTCCCACCACGTTTTTAACATAAAGCAAAACTTTATTTTAATATTGTTTATTGTTACAAAGTCAGAATAATAGATAATAGATAGTTTCATAATAAATAATCAGTTTCTAATTTGAAATAATATATTAACTACAATATATAAAAATTGAGCAAAGATTCTGTAAAATGAATTAATTTTATCATATTTAAATATTAATAATTTAGTTTAATAAATAATGGTTTTAAACAATATTAATTTTAATAACGATTATTATTATTATTATATTTTAAATTTTTTATTACTTTTGAATAAGTTTAAAATTTTACAACTTACAATATTAATTCATTCAATTTGTTAATATAATATCTTTGGTATTAGTAGAATGATTTATTGCAATTTTGATAATCTAATCTCAGTATTTTATTTAATATTTTGAAATCAGATTTTCTAATTAAATTGATATTGAGAAATTAAAATTAATATACAATTTATTGATATATTTATTGATACAATTTATTGGTATTTCATTATGTATTGAAATGGTTAAATATATATATATATATGTTAAAAATTTTAAATTTACATATCCAGAATATATATTTCATATTATCCCTTACATTTATATGATATAGTTATATATATTAGTATTACATGTAACATATGCAGATACAGTTTTGACTAGTTTTGTTATAAGAAGTTCATATATTCTAGATTCTAGTTATGAGTTTTAAATTTTTCAGATTATAAGATAGTTAGAAGCAAAACTGTTTATAAATTCTTTCTTATTGACATATGGGTTAGCAGGCGTATAGTTTAGAAAGAAAAGAAAAAAAACCTAAAATGGAATAATAGATATATCACCTCTATGCATTTCCTGGCTGTAAAATAATTTGAAAAACCAAACTCTATAACAATCATTTAATCTATTCAAGTTTATTGAAAAATTATTGATATAATAATTGTGTATTTAAGACGGGCTAATTTGTCAATAGTTAAAATATACACTTTTTAAAAAAAATTTTAAATTTTAAAAAATTTTATTTAAACAAAAAATTTCGACTATACTTAATAGTCATCTTCAGAGTAATACAATGTTCTTATAATGTGCATTGTATTACTATACAATTCTTTAAGAATATTGTAGTACCCTGAAGATGTTTATAGAATATAGTCGAAATATTGTTTAAATAAAATTTTTTAAAAACTAAAATTTTCTTTAAAAAGTGTTTTAAGCAACTAATAATAAATTAGCCCATTTTAAAAAACAAAATCATTATTAAAAAATTTTGTTCATTCAAATAATAAATTAATAAAAATGATTGATAATAAAATGAATGGTTGGATACCAAATAGACAAATGATATTAAATTATTATGTTATTGGGATAAATTTAATTTTTATTTTTTATTTAATTTTATTTTTTTTAACAAATTTTGATATCTTACGTTTTTTCTTTTTTGAATTTGAGCTTAAATGAAGAAAAGGAATTTAATCTACTGCATATATTTTACTTAATCTACAAGAAAATATTCCTCGCAAGTAATTGAGCAATTTATTTTTTTTTCTTAATTTATAGTTTAAGGTCTTTTTGACCAATTTTTGAAATATTATATATATATGAGATGCTTAAAGTTCTTATAATAAAATATTTACTCATTTTGTAGTTTATTTTCAGTTTGCTATATTTCAGTCTTTGGCAATATCACAACTATTTATTTAATGTTTTGGGTTTCAGTAAGTTAAAATAAGAATAGAAGATATATTTAAGAGTTCTTTAATACAGAGTTAGAATACTGCTAGTGGTAATTTATACTTAGCAAAATTAATTAAATGTTTAATGAGAACTAATAAATTAAAAAATATAATGTAACCTTAAAAGTAACTCTTAAAAAGTTTATAAAATTTTATAAAGTTGCATTAATTCACCTAGGAAATACCCAAATCATGTAACAAATGTTGTTTTAATTCCTCGCCCTCTTCTTCAAGCCTTTGTGCAGTCATTGTATTTAGTAAGTTGAATACAATCGCGAATATTGTAAATGTCAAATAGGAGCTTAAAGCAATCCACCAAATCACTTTCGATTGAGTCTTACTCTCAAAATTTTTCAATATTAAAAGTGCCACTGTGAAGCCAGCCAAGGAACCCGTCAGATGAGCGATATACGAAACTGCAGGCAGACCTCTAATTTCAGTTGAAAAATACTTTGTATAAAATGCGAAGCCCAAATCACAGGAAACTAAAAATAAATGCAAAATAATGTTTATATATAGAAAAATTATTTATTTAATAGATACTATATAAAGCAAGTTATTTCTTAAATTACCAAAAATAATCACTGACATCAACTGTAAGATACCGTAACGCATTTGTTCAAAGTTCAACAAAATACTTGCTAATTGTGCAGCTAGTAGTGCATAAACGCCGCCGCTAGCTCCGACTAAATACACTTCCGAGTCCACAACGCTAGTGCCCAACGATCCAGCAAAAACACCCGCCAAATAGATGACAGCAACACGCAACGAACCGTGCACCAATTCCAAGGGCACACCGAAGAGCAGTTGAATCAGAATGTTGAAGCTCAGATGAAACCAGTTCGCATGCAACAACATGTAAGATACGTAACGCCAAATCTCCAGACGGCGATCCGGTCGATAAATAAACACCGATTCACTGGGTACATTACTGTTGCTCAATTCATTCACTGGAGCTACCGTCAGATAGTCAAAGACGAAGACGCCGATCTGTTAAAATGAATAGTAAAAAGTGAAAGGGGCGGAAGGAAGTATTTTTTTATTTGACATTAATAATGATTTTTTCATATAATTCAAATACTTGTTGAAATTCTAAAATAATAAATTTTGATAAGCATATTGCCAAAAACCTATAAATTACATCTAAAATATGCAAAATTGATGTTGAGTAGAAAATCTCTTGGCCACAAGCAACAGAAAATATTCAATATTCACGTAGCTGAGCGTGATTTTATTATTAATTTCCAAAATATTTTTTTTTATATTTCGAAGAAAAAATCTTGGCAATTCAGCTTCAGCGTTTGCTTATAGAATCTATGCGGAAGTGTGGCTATGTTTGCGGCACGATATGAAATTTATGCAAACAGTTTGTTTGGCTTAAAAGTTATTTATGTTTACGTAGCAACGTGGCAAACAAACTGTGGCAAAAAATTCATAGGAAATACAAATGAAAACCCACAAAAAAAAAGATTTTTCTGAAAAAAAAACCTAGAAGTATAGTCATGCTCCAACCCCATTATGTTTCGCCCCATTAAATAATACAGCAGACTATATTTTCTGCTATTTTGCCGTCCAGACTTTGTGTCAGACAAACACGTAACTTGTGACTCCCTTAGCAATGCTGTAGATGTGTGCTTCATGCGTAGACATATGAACTATTTTCCTATTAGTTACGCCGCCCGAGACGTATTGGTGCAAAAGTTTCTCAATAGCCAAGACTAGACAGTCTTGAATGCCATGTAAACTATGAGCGTAGACCAAACCTAGACTGTTTAGTTTTCGTGAGTGTTACGTTACGTTTCCACTTTGTTACCCTTCTAATACGCACTTTGCTCGTACCGGTGCTAAGCATTATCGTTCTCTGCTTGACTGCAGTACTGTTGACCCTGTCTGATGTGGCGAGCCTGTCAGTTAGGTGTCCACAATGACTTGAATATTTCCAATTAAATTATGTGTGCTTACGCTTCTGTTTTCAACCACAGCAGACAGTCTAAGCAAATTTATTAAATTTTTCTATAGCTTCGCTTGTGATATTTGAGCACTGTTTTTTAAATTTTTTTTACATTGGGTTTGCATTATTCACGTATGAAATGGAATATGGCAACCCAATCAGACTAACCCTTAGTCAACAATTGTGCTCAATATTTCACTTTTTTGCAGTAAGTAGCTTTCGATTTCACACAAGCGATTGTTGGTGGACGTGGCAAATACTGTATTTACGTTGTTCCCAACCCAAACCCAAACCCAAACAGTAGACGTAAGTTCCACTTGTGTGACCAAGCATGTTCAGTTGTCTCCTTTAAGTCTGGTTGAATCAATAAAGTGGCAGCAAATAAATCATGTCTGTCACTCACTTTAGTTAAATTTTTATTTCAACTGGAATCAATTGCATTTTCTGTTTAAACTTTTATTCTTAAGGGGATTAGCACTTTCTCAATAGTTCACATCCACTTAATTTAATAAAAAAGAGTATTCAACGTAGAGCATAGAATACTAAAAATTTATGAAAATGATTCGTTTCTGAAGAATATTGAAAAAAATTTATTTATAAGAGAAAAGACTCTTTCAATTTATTCTCGTACCATAAATCAGTTTAATGTTAATAGGTGTCATAATTTTTAGATAATGTAGTATGATATCAGAAAAAGCTTTTAAAGTGTTATTACCATTTTATTTTAATGAAATTCTAAATTGAATGAATTTGCTAAATACTCCTCCTAAACTTTTAGTATAACAGATATATAATAACAGTGAAGATAACTTTGGTGGCTTATGTTTGCTTAGAGACATTATTTCCAATCATTTCTTCTATTTAACTGTCTGACGACGAATAAGTAAAGATTTTCAAATAGGTACAATTTTTAAGCAGAAAAAATTTTAAGTTTTAAAAAATCGTTATTATTAAAGAGTAGACGTGAAAATTGCCCAACAGCCGGTACTGTGGCCAGAAGAGACATATTGTAACAGTTTCACTATTGATTAAACAAAGCCCCTTAAAGCTTTGTGAATAAAGTCTAGAACTAAATCCAGAGAAGAGTTCTTAATCTATTTTGGTGACAGAAATTCTTTATGAAACAGGTTTCTTCTGTGCGTTATTAAAGCTGGTCAGTCACAAAGAATGTGCATGATCGTTTCCTCATCTTCGAGGCATAATCTGCATTCCGAGTTAGCAGATAATTGTAGTTTATGAAGGTGATATTTCAGACCATAATGAAACCCGTTATCAACCTTAAATCACATTTTGAGAATTTAAGAATGTATTTGTAGGAGTACAGTGTTATCAGTGATTTGCTTTGTCTGAGTCCTGGAAAGTTTACGCAGTACTCAGCCGCATATGATTTTCCATTTCCTTGATAATCTGTTTTGTAATGGCCCAGTTAATCCACAAAAGGGTTGAGAGAATATAAAAACAGTTTTTGATGCAGTTCTGGCTAGCTCATCAGCTTTTTCATTTCCCAAAACTCCTCTGTGGCCCGGAACCCAGTAAAGGCTTACCTTATTCCGAGCTGCAAGTGATTGCAGAAGCTCGTAACACTCTAGGACCTGTTTTGATTTGAAAAAAGTATTTTGAATACATCTTTTATAAGACAAGCATTATCTGTTGTTTTCATATTTTTGCAAGTGAAATAAAAACTCTTTATTGCAAAGTCTATAAACTTGGCCAATTTTGTAGGACAACAGTTCTGATAGTTCGGTAAAGGCCACCGGGAGTTTTAAATTCTTTTCCTAACCAATAATGGACATTGACATGAAGTAGACTACAGTTACCTCTTAGTTACCTCTTTAGCCGAAAGCCTAAAAAAGTCATTATAGATTGTACCTAGTCACATAGCATGAATTGAAGGGACATAGCATGTGCTGCATAGTTGAAGCAGGGAGGGTAATACTAAACAGACTAACATTCCTTAAAGAAGGGGAAATTGAAGAATTTATGTAGATATTAACAGATTCGATTGGCACGATTTGTTTTTGATATACTCTCTAATATTTCTTTCTCTTTTGATCTGGAATTGACATATTTTTTTCCTTGGTTTAATATTTAGCGACTTGTGAACTTAAAGCGGGAACTCTGCTCATTACCACGGTTATTTTGCTGACAGGACATTGCGAGGATAGAAAGGGCATGCTCATTTATTGAGCTATTCCATAATGATTTTTTGTCAAGGGTTCGTGGCTTTGAGGATGAGAAGGTGCTGTGCTCCATCTTATGTGCCAGTTGTTCGTTCTTTAGCTAGAAGAAGATTAAAAAATCTTCGGAACCACTTTTCTCACCGATTTGACTGAGCTGCCATCCTGTAATGTTAGGAACCTGGCCAAATTTATAGAACTGTCACATTGGTTTCCTTTTACGTGATGTGGGAGTCGTTACCTTTTTCGGCGTTGAATATATACTGATTTAAATCTATGTACGTACCAATGCTTTTCCTGTGGTGCCGCAATTTGTGTGGGCTTTTGTAAATAGGGCCGCCACTCCAACCTACCTATCTACTACACTAGAAACAATATGGTAGTACAACATTTCAACTCTCTAATATTTTTTTACTCCCCAAGCTGGAATTGAATATTTTTTCTTTCAATATTTTGACATATTTATTGGTCATACTAGAAATAATATGGTAAATCTTATATATATAATTCTTCTGTACGTGTGTTGACAGTGAACTTCTCCTAAACGGCTGAACCGATTTTGATGAAATTTTTTGTGGGTGTTCAAGTGGATTCAAGGAAGGTTTAGATTCACAATTTGGCCCACTGGATAATGTCTTTTTAATTAATTTTTTATTTTTTGTTATCCATATACATTTATATTAGAAATTTAAAATTTATCCATGCTTACTTTGATTTGTTTAAAAAGTTTAAAATCTCTAAAATGAATCGTAAAATTGTATAGCTTAAGTGCATTTAAATTCCGCAGTATATAATAATAATTAAAAAAACGTTATCCAGTGGACCAAATTGTGAATCTAAACCATCCTTGAATTCACTTGAACACACACAAAAAAGAAGAATTATAAAATAACGTACAATAACGTATATATATATATAAAGGTATAAAAGGTATAAATAACGTACAAAAAAAACAATATGAATATGAGTCGGATATCGACTATTCGTCACATTCACGAATTGTAATCGGTGCTATGAACAAACAGTGCCACCACTGTCATGCACTCAAATACAAAGGTGAATCGGCCGGTTTCTGCTGCGCATCTGAAAAAATTGTATTGCCACCATTGAATTCGCCGCTAGAACCATTGAAAGCACTATTGGCTGGAGCTACATCTTAATCTATATTGTTTTTTTCGTAAAATTCGCAAATTCAATTCGTGCTTTCAAATGACATCATTTGCAACAACAAAAATCGTTCAGAATGAGATTGGTTGTAATTTTCAATCAACGCTTAAGATTCAGGGCCAAGTGTATCACCAAATTGGTTCTTTAATGCTGATGCCTAATAATAATCCCAAATTTCTGCAAATCTACTTCATGGGTGATGAGAAGCAGCAAATAAACGCACGTTGCCAGTACAGCCATATCGAGCAGATGGAGGAGCAAGAAATTGTGGGTATTTTAGAACCGTTTTTAAAAAATCACAACCAGTTGGTCCAGTTGTTCACTACCGTTTCAAACAGACTGCTAAACGACAACTATACAAACCAGGAATGCTACCATATAACTTAAGATTAAAAATTGGCTCACCTATAATCATACTGCGGTGAAATTGTTTATGAAATCTGACAGACTTACCAACACCGCGTTATCAAATCTCTGAATGGTTACAAGCTCCTCGGGGAGGTATGCAGATCTGAGGTCAATTATTACTTAGTCTGATGAAGTGATAAACAATAATCTTTTTTCATTTAAAATGTAGTGCTTATAAGGATTTGAAGTAACATGAAAATATTTGTAACATAAGTAATGCATGTGAACTTTTTGTAGTTCAAAAGAAAAAATCAATTTAAAATAATTTTCGCATTAAAATGCTAAAG